TGGGAAAGTATATAAAGGTTTGCTTTGATATACCATTGTTTGTAACTATCAAAAGGCGACCATGTGCTCCAACACCAGAACTTGTTGCTGAGGTATGAATGTTCTGTCTAATCAGGAATTCTTTTCCTTATCATTTCTTCTACTTTGGATATGCGGTCAGCTCATTCGGTAGAATGATATGATCAATTTGATAAGGATGCCTAACATTTTACGTACTTTTCTTCAGCTTTAGAAATTTGGAAACAGAAAGAAAGTAACAGGTTTCTGTGACAGACAGGTAGCCTATCTGTTAGAGATTCAACATCCGAACTTGGTTCTCTTCCAGGTTATTGTCAAGAAATTGGATCACAAATTTTAGTATATGAGTATTTACCAAATGGCAGCATCTGCAATCACTTATATAGTATGACTCCTTTAATAAAATTGGTTTTTTCTGCATGGTTGTAAATGCAACACTTTATATATGATCCATTAATTGTTTTTCAGATACTAGATTAGAATTCAAGCAGAGGCTATCCATAGCTTTTGGAGGCAGCTAAAGTAAATCTAGAAGAATCTGCAGAGGGAAATGCTAGTTTTCATTTGGGTAAAGAGAAATTCTGTTTACTTGGTGCAGGTCTATGCCATCTGCACAGCCTAAAGCCTCCTTTGGTACATGGAAACTACCAAACGGCCAATGTCCTAGTTGATGAAAACTTTATTGCTAAGGTTGCAGATGCTGGAGTGTTTAGGATATACTTGAAAAGATAGAAGAAGAAGATCCATCTTGCACATCTACTGTTGATGTTTTACAAGATGTAAAGATTGATTTTTTCTGATTTTATTTGGTTTCTACTTTAAAAAGTATTAATCCTTCACCTATATCAAGCTGAGACTTTGTTTGAATGTCAGGGTAGGAGCATCAGGGAACTTTAAATCAGTATGAACATCATGCTTTGATCCTTCAAAAGTAACAAAAACTACGTAGAAATTGAAAACACAATGTTGGATACCATAGATCAGCTCTAATTATTTGTGAAAAAAAAAAAGGGGAAGAAAGAAGAGAAAGGTTCCTTTTAAGGAAAAGGAAATAAATAAATAGAACTGTTAGTTGATTCTCTGCTGATGAAGAAAAGCGTTTGATTTAGATTCTGCAACCAAACACAGGCTGGGGATTCTGAATTCTGTTTGTACATTATACTAGATCATTAGAGGGGAAAAAATAAAAGCCAATTTCTCCAATCACTACAGTTCATCAAAATTCATTTCATACATAAGAGTGAATTCTGAAACAAGATCAATGTAGAAAATAACCAAACACAATTCAGAGGTGTAAATTTTCTTATTTCCTAGATTGTATGCCTTCACCCCACAAGATGGTGAGATTGTCTATCTCCTCATTGTCCCATGAGAAGATCTGCCATTACATACAGGGTGGTGGTCCATGGAGATTGTGCATTTACTCAAATAGACCCTCGATTGTCTGCTCATTGTCCCTCAATTTCTTACCTGCAATAGCTTTCCTTCAAGGAACACATGAGAGATACAAGATATGTTTCCAATTGACTGAAATTGAGCACCTCCGAGAACATTCTGCATTATCAAAAACATTTCAAAAGAAGCAACTTTTATCATAAGACCTCACTCAACTTCCAATGGCAATTAAGAGTCATAAAAATCTAGAAAGCATACCAGAATTGAGTTTCCCATGGTGAAGCTACTTTTCTACCGTTCGTGATCCATTGCCTTAATTATTGGATGAGGATCATCTTTACAACTTTCCGTTTCACAACCAAAAATGAAATTCCCCTGTGCTGTTACTGTAATGCAACTCTCTGTTTCACAACAACATGTTTTGCAATGAGAAGAAATCTAACTAATATGGATATTAGTTCCATGTGCAGCAGATAGTTTTCAAATAATACTGACATAATTGCAAAGAACACAACTGTAATTCACAAAATTATTAAATTACCAGAAGCTAGAAGTTAGTAGGTTCTTGTTGTTGGAGTTCATTTCTGAATTCTAGAAATCTTCCTTCCAATCAACTGATAATTTATCCTTCAGCTACACATCAAGTAAAAGAAATGGAATAAGGTAGATAAAAGGAAACTTCTAACTAATATGTAAAAATCTGAAGTTAAAATAATTTTCATGTGATAACATTAAGATCATATTAATTGATAAATTGACAGTACTGATAGAATGAGGAGAGAATTAGCTGTTGAAATTCATAAAATTCAAAATGTGTAATTACAAGAAAAATAAAATAGGAGTTGGGATTCCAGAGATGAGACATACCATTAGCCTCTCGGAAACTTGAATCTTGTGATTATATTTCCTCTCCATTTATTCTGATGGTTGGAATGTGAGAAATCTTG